GACAACATGCATTGGAGTCCAACGAAAGATTATACGTGGTCTATGTAAGTTACTATCAGATTATGGTGTTCGATATACACAGTCATGATAACGGTGTATAAATCTTTAAATCAACCATCAACTGATTATCACATTAAACAAAAGTATTGCATGATTGTTCTATGACTATAGCAGCTAATTGTACTTGAATAAATTTATTAAGAGGATGCTTGGCACATTACATAAACATGACATGAAAAACGAAGAGAGGGACTTCCTCTTTGGCATCATATAGTCAGTTGTCAATTTGCCTAAAAGGCTGATTGGAAATTTTGTGAGGACGTATTCGGAAAGAGGATGTCTCTACTTTAATAGACTATGAACTTTGTTTCCAAATTTGAAAATGGGTTTAGCTACTTTAGCTACTTGGCATTTTATGGTGATTTCGGTCTGCTGATGATGATTTTAAGAACAGTCTTTTTGCAAATATTTAAAACTGCACATTTAGAAATTATATTAGGGATTATTGCAAAAAAAAAATCATGTTTATAGCTATTGTGGGCCTTGAAACATATTTTATTTTAAACGCTCTCTAAGGTGAAAATGTGAAATTGGTATCTGTTTTAATGAAAGTTTGGATAGTTTTCGACCTTGATCGACATGTTTATTAGTGGCAAAATGTTAATATCAATCGCAAAGTTTATTGTATACTTTATTTAGTAAATGTATCAATGAACAGAGTGGTATGATAAGAATCATCACGAATATGTTAAAATATATAGAGAAGGGAAATGAAACTATATCAACACAAGGCCATCTGTCAGTTCTGTGTGTTTTGTTTTATGTTTTCAAAATAGTACATAAACATATACATAAATTAACAATTATTTCTTCATTATACGTAATTATAAAGTATTCGGTACATTAAATATGATGCATACAAACACAAATATTTTTAAATGAAAAAAGATAAATTACAAAAAACGCAGGAGACCGCCATCATGAGCGGTGAACTCCTCTCTCTCTCTCTCTCTCTCTCTGTCTGTCTCTCTCTCTCTCTCTCTGGTTCATTGCACCCCCCCCCCCCCCTCCTCGTAGCCCGTACTTAGTCATTCCTTTTCTTTCTCGCTCTCCATGGTGACGCCAAATGCTGTATGATTATAATCATATATATATAAATTGTTTTTCACTATCATAATAGACTCGACTGGTCATACTTTGGAGGTGTCGTGTAATAGTGGTTCATTAATTCACTCCACTCTTATACGATTACTGGTTCGATTGCCAGCCATTGACGTGTTTTGGTAAGACAACGATCCATATTAACAACCCTCTACCCAAGTGTAAATTGGAAATTGGTAGGGCAATAGTAACCGGGGGCCCGCATGAAGAGCAGTATTAACCCTGATGTGCTACCCTTGGTTTATCTATTGAGGTTATCCCATGGATAATATTATTTTACGTACAAAGAATGAGGAAGCTCCACAATTTTTTGTTTTTCTTTTTACCAGAACTCAGTTTCACTTTGACATTCTTTTTTGGGCAATGTATTTTTTTCGTAATATGAAAAAAACAGAAAAAGGAATGTATATTCAAATGTATAGACAAATTTAATACAACTATAACCTAACATGTTCTGTATGTGTATGAGCAATTGAACGTTATCTGGACAGATTTATCGGTGATTATCTTGGAAAATTGCGAGCTAACCCATTACATTACGTTTCGTATACGATTGATATGTTTAAGAGGGTATCATAAAACATGGCAAGATAAAATCTTTTTTTTTGTTAATGTGTGTTTGTGTTAGTCTATATTTTGAGGGAAAGAATAAAATGTATTATTTAAACAGTGTTGAATTCAAAGCACGAATGTTGTTACTCTTAATGTAAACCAATTACAAATATATTGTTAAGTTTCATTGTTTTACTATGTTCAATGCAATCCCATGTACTTTATTTATTTTGTTGGAAATGTAAATAAACGAAATGAAATAAAATGAAATGTAAGGATATGGATATATCATCAAGGTACTGCTAAGAATGATGATGACTTTAAAGAAATATATATAATAATGACGTAGATGATGATATTGGGGATAAAATAGATGATGGTAATGAACACATGAACGATGGGCATGATGATGATGATGATGATGATGATAATGATGATGACAGTGATGGCATTGACAATGGACATGATGATGATGATGATGATGATAATGATGATGCATTGATGGTGATAATGATGGACATGATGATGATGATGATGATGATGATGATGATGATAATGATGACAGTGATGGCATTGACGATGGGCATGATGATGATGATGACAGTGATGGCATTGACAATGGACATGATGATGATGATAATGATGATGACAGTGATGGCATTGACGATGGGCATGATGATGATGATGATAATGATGATGACAGTGATGGCATTGACAATGTACATGATGATGATGATGATGATGATGATGATGATGATGATGATAATGATGACAGTGATGGCATTGACAATGGACATGATGATGATGATAATAATGATGATGACAGTGATGGCATTGACGATGAACATGATGATGATGATGATAACGTTGCTGCTGCTGCTGATGATGATAACATGTCGTAAATAATCATTCAATTTATGAATATTATGATTATCATCGTCATCATCACCACCACCAACAATATCATCATTATTATTACCACCATCAACATCAATTTAACAGCATCATCAGTGCCACGATTTGAGATGTTATATCGCAGACCATCTCAGACTTACTTAGAAGTTATGTCGACAATTTTTTTTAGATGGCGCTCTTCAAAGTTGTACGGTACGCTATAAAGATCTATGTTAGCAGTCCTAGGTATAATTTTGTCCCGTACGTAACCCACCAAATCTATCGAGCCAATTACTCTTCTTTAGCTTAAATTACACCAAATATCAACTTAATTGACACTTCTATTAATTTCGATTCATGTTCCTGTTTATGATTTCATTGTTACATAATCTTGAACATCTCTCTGGTACGAGACATCCTTTTGGACTTGCCATACATAATAATTATTTGACCTACTAGACATGCTAGACGAAGGATTCACCATGTGTGGCTCAGGAAATGTAGGACGGGGGGGGGGGGGGCTGCAATGATGGAACAAATCTATACTGTTATAAAGACATCGTTTAACAATGTTAAATCTTTTGATCCACGGCTCTACGTGTTATCAGTGTCTGTAATGTGGTTTAATATTCAAGCCCTAAAAAATTATGAACATTTACCATGTTTATGATATGCCATCAATATTATTGACACTAAAGTGTCAAAATAAACTTCAATTGATCATTATTATACCATCATCATCGTTATCATCAACATCATCACCACTATCATTATCACCATCATCACCATTACAATTATCATCAGCATCATTTACACATGTTACATCTTCATCAATGTCACAGTTTAATAGGTTACACGGCAGAAAATCTCAGACTTACTTACAAGTTATGTCGACGTTTTGTTTCAGATGGCGCTCGTCAAAAAGCTGTACAGTGCGATACGGTGTTTTTCAACCGGGGTGCCGCGAGAGAAATTTAGCTATAATATACAAATATTCAACAAATACTTTGGAATAAAGTCTTTTTCGAGAAGAAAACCCCTAGACTATGTCATTTAATGTAGCATGTTTAATATAATAAAGTGTTTTTCTTCCTCCCTGGCTTGGCTTCGCTTGATGCAAGATGAATCTTCTGTGATAAATTTGAGATTGAGATAAGGCGAGTTTTGTCACACTTAAAATGGGTGCCATGACTAAAAAACAGAATTTGGCCAAATTGGTTACACTTGGTCACAGCATGATGTATATTCTTTCGCTTTGTGCTTGCCCAACAAAGCAGCATTCGCCATATTATACCCTTATCGAACCGGGTCGGTCAAAAAAATGCTAATTTGATAATGATGCAATGTATATGTTCACTAAAAAAGTTTGTACATCATTTAATAATTGCAACATTATTATTGTACCGATGTTTGTAATGCACTGCTTTGTTTTGTTTATGTTTTATTACTTCTGTAATATGAGAAAGCGGAAATAAATTGTAACTTAAACTTGAACTGGGAATCAATGGCTTGGACAGGCCTAATTGTAGGACGCCCTCTCTTCCTGACCATCTCGGTGAAGAAAATAATATTTTTTTCCTTCTAAATCCGCGAACACTCCATAAAATTGCTGCCTTTTCGTCAGTTTTCTCACTCTTTAAAACAAATTGTTCCCCCTTTTTACAGTCCGCGAACTCCACTTGAATGTACTCTATCCTTGTCTGAACCAATACAGACGATTTTAATTCAAATCACAGTGAATAATAGTTATTTATGAAAGAGAATTCGAATTGTATCGTGCCCTTAACGAACATGAATATAAAATAAGAAATATGTTATTTACATCATGATAATATTCACATTTAACCTAGGGCCACGCACAGTACATTTGATATATCCCTTGAATGTTTGATGTGGCAGACGTGACGATATCTTTAAATTCAATTTGTTGATCGAAGTACACTGGCTATAAAATTTAATTATATTATTTGTTAACGTAGCAATCATGCACGAACTTTGCGACTTAAATATTCTCATAAATATTGCCTAGGTCACATTTGCCGCGATGGCCGTGTGGTCTAAAATATCTAGTCTACGGCCACCAGCAATTAAAGGGCCGCCGCAGCATTCCCACGGTCACATACGGCAGCGGTCACATAATTATGTTGGTAACTGCACAGTGTATTTTGAATTTGTGGAGAGAAAACGCCTGCGGCTGCCGTATGGCCTTTGAAGTGATGACGCAGGGCCGCCTTAGGGCGTCCCTGCGGCGGGTGTAGGTTTTTGAAAAATACTAAGGCGCCCGCAAGGCCACCGTACGGGCGCCGTAGGGCCACATTAAGGCTGACCTATAGGGCGCCCGTGTAATTCCTGCGGCCACCGCAATTTGTTTGTTTGTTTCGCAAAAGTCAATTATGATTCATAAGACCCTAGAGCAGCCGCACGGCCAACGCAAGACCACACGGTACGCCCGACGTATGGTCGCCGTGGAACCGCTCTACAACATGGCTACGGCGTGTCTAACCGCTACGGCGAACCTAGAAATGAAAACAAGTATACCTCCGTGTTCTGTATAGATAGGGGTACGTCCTAGGGTGACCCTGAGGCCACAGCAGATTTTCTGTGGCCACCGCAAGTGTCTCTCGATTTTGGGGGCGTACGGCCGCCGTATCCTAGCCGTAGAGCAAATGTGACCTAGTCATAAACAATGGTTTAGAGTTGGTAGACGGAGGAAACTTAGTATCAAAGTCCGCCCCTTCCTCTAAAAGCCTACTAAGCGATGTAAATGGGTCACACATACAACTAGAGCTTAACTTTAGTGTTCAATGAGCAATGGAAATAAACCAAACAATTTAGCTGGCAATCTCATATCGATCCAACTACACAAAAAAGGGGGGGGGGGGGATAATTCTGTCCTCCTTACCTATTGCTACAAGCATGGATCATGTCAGGTGATGACATAGGCAAAGTGCAATACATATTTACATGTGATTATCAACAGAATCAACGTGCACTTTGATGTCAATGACATGATTTATGGAAAGACAAATACGATTGTTCAGATAAATATAAGATTTATTAGTTTGGCAGAATCTACAAACTAAAAATAAATGCCGAACAGATGAAGTATGTTATCACAAGCTGATTAGTCGAATCCAGGGGGGGGGGGGACAAGGCGAATTATCTTCTTGTTCTTCTCTTGTATATGTTCTCATATTTGTTTTGCTTTAATCTTTGCTGTGATGATTGTGCTACAAAATGATAATACAAACATTTCCAGCAGATGCCCCGAACTGCTATCAAACATTCACTATTATTATTTATTTTCGTGCCCAGACTTGCAATGTCAATGAGTAGTATTTATTTGTCGAGCTCAAGGTTTTTACCCCCCCCCCCTCTCCTCCCCGCCATCAAAATGTTGGGAGAAAAAGAAAAGGCAGATTTTATATACAGAAGATCGACTCTTGAAAAAAGGGTGGACAGTAAAAAGCAATAATTATTGTTTACCACCAATGTTGAAGACATAAGTTCTAGACAGAAGACTAGGAAATCAAATTGTGATTCAACGTACTGCTAAAATTACCTTCTCAAATGATGTAGTTGAATCTCCCAATATGGTTTCGAACAATTTCATACCTCGTTCTCTCACTTTTGCGTCAGATATGTATTTTGGACATCCTAATTCTAGCTGTAAAATATTCATTATTTCAAGAATGAAAACTTGAAAATAGCCATGAATTCTATTCGACTATTATTTTTCTGTTCCGTTTTATTAATTTCATTTGACCTCTTAATAATTCAAGTGTACAATGCTGATAAATAACCAGTGGACCTAAAACTTCATGTCCGATCCGAAAAACTTGACAGCTGATATGAGAGCGCCGATTTGGAACCTGGAACCTCCTGGTTACGATACTTTATTTGTTATGCGAAACACTTCCAACAACAACAAAATCACATTAACATCAAATGACCCTAGTAATATTAGCTTATTAGTAACGAAACAAATTCACATACATTTGTCGAAATAGATAAGAATGAACAGGGATCTTTTTACCCAAAAGGCTTCGTCCCTCCCAAGACCAACATCCCTATACTGTTCCACCCATCCTTTCAGAATGAGTGGACCCCCCTAAAACAATAGACTAATTTCAATGACATGACAAGATAATGAGCTGTATCATCACACTTATGAGAAACGGACAAATGGCTTCATGTGATTGGCTCATGAGGTAAGTGGTGGGCGTAATCTTGGCCGATCAGAAACAAACATTATTACACGTATCTATATCAGGCAAATTTGTGTTAGGACAGGTCACTGTCGTGACTCCTACCCACCAACTAAACATCGTTGTTTTACTTTGGGACGTACTATAAACGAGTGAATTGGGTAAGATTGAGGGTATTTTTTTAAAAACTAGAATTGTATTAGTAGTCTAATTCATTGATTTCAGTTTTAAATTATATCCTACTTTTACATAGTTCCTTGTGTTCCATACTAATACGTGTGTCCCCACTACAAGTCAACGCTGTCTCATGTTAATTTGTTATCAGTAAGTCAAATATGCCTTAATCTTTTCCGCATTTTGTAATATGATTATCATCTTGCTCATCTTCCCATACATTTTATATTGTGACCTGGTGTGTGCAAAAAACAAAAACTAACCCAATAGATTTATTGCAAAAAGAACATGCTTCTCATATTTAGTGGGTCCCATTATTTATGAATTTAAAAATGGCTATCTTTCATACAAACGCAACACAAAGTTTGATTCTTAAGTTTAGATTCATTAATAACCTGCTTCCTGATTCTTTTAAGAATTTAATTGTATAAGATTACCTTTTATTACCCTACTCGAAATTCATTAAACTTTCATTTGATAGATCCTAAATTATTGATCCTGCATAAATCGACTAGACATCATGGTCCAGATCTATGGAATGTGGAATGCACTCCTAGATAAATCAAATAAATCAAATAAATCATGTAAACCCTAAATTAATTTGAGTTCAAAACGGATAAAACGGAGTCCATCGTTTGATCATTTCCCAATGCTGAATTAATATTTAATATCATTTCCAGATTTCTATAAACACCCATTAATATATGTTATAACTCCCGCACAATAATCATCATCCCCGTCATCACTTTTCTCATTTTTGAAATAATTTACCTCGTCCCGGGCTTTCACGCTATGAAGAAAGCGCTTAATGTGATAGCCCCCTTCTGGAGATTATCAATGAATGATTCTTGGAAGTGTGTTATCAGTTTTATTTTGTTTAAATGTCAACATTTCTATTACTTCTATATTTTGTACACGTTCAAAATATTGTTTATATGTTGTAAATGTTGTAACGCTAAAATGTAATTTGATTTGTAATTTTTGCAGAATAAGAGAAATTTAATGAAATTCAATCATGAACATATCTCTCTTTAACTTTCAGATCTGCATGATTTAGGGCATTGACGATTGTACTGGGCCTTTATTGATAAACATCGTTATCCCCCAATCAATGTCACTTTGTACAGGTAAGGTATATTACTGAACATAATACTATTAATACTTCTTATTTGAATTCCGATCTAATCCAAACCTACATAGTATCTGGTGTAGCGCCTTTTCCTTTCAGATTTCTAAGCGCTTTATAATTTGCTCCACACCCGGCCGCATAAATCGAATCAAATCAATATATTTTTGGTAATACTGTTTGGAGACAAGTTTTCTTGATAAGAATGGTTATGACTAATGAATGAATTGTCAATAACAAGTTTTTTCACGCCAATTTCGCAAATTTGCCAATCCAATTTATTTTGCGTGCACTCAATTCAGCACAATTTAGCCCCGCCCTTTCTTCGATAGTTCACATTCATTATATGTGCATTTTAGTCAACCAGAGAAGCATGTTTCTCATTCAAATTCATATTTCATGCACTCTTTTCATTCAATTTAGCATGACATGCTCACGTGATCACTTAATACTGCCGTTCGTACATTTACATTTTTTTTGGAGCAACCACTTTAGCATTTCGTTCATCCAAATTAGTCGAGGTTTTCTTATAATTCCTTTTTTAAAATTAAATTCAAAGTGTGTTTTGCATATAAGTGTCATATGTAATCACTCTACTATGGATTCTTTAAATTTACGTAGATCTTAAACGTAAATGAAAATGATAATAGAAAATGTAGGGGGCCTACATAAATAACATCCATGCTAATTCGAATTAATTTGTTACAAAATTGACTGCCAATAGCGAAATGGAATGCCCGAGTTCACCTTTGGCAATTGCCGACGAATAAGAATAAATATTGGCACAAGCGTAAGACGGAATTAATTTAAATAAACAAGTGCAAAGTCCCGCGTCGAATTGAATTCGGGTGGCAATGTGACAACTGAATTATCGTTTTATCACACGGACTAAAAAAGATGAGAAATTGGCCAGGAAAAGCTATATCATTATCAATTGATATAGTTGATTTATATTTTTCTTGTATAATCTGTTATTCAGTTACTGTATCTATATCATCTGATTCTGTATGTCTTCAGGAGGCTACTAGACTATTTTGGCCATATTTCATGTGATATTTGTCATACATTTTACATCTACTGGTTTTGCATTCACCACTGCCTTATACCCCCTTCACATACACGGATTATTCTTACGAGTCCTTACGGATCGCACAAATTCACGGATCTTTCACGGATCCTTACGATTTGGCCACTTTTACGACCGGTTTAAGAGTTATTACGAGCTGTTTGCGGTTTGTTACGGATTATTACGAGTTATTACGATGTATTTACGGCAACAGTCCACGATTTGTTACGATTTGTCACGGATAACTACGAGCAACTAACGTGTTAGTTACGATCTGTTCACGTGTTGTTACGAATAGTTACGAGTAAGTTACGAGTATGTACGAGTCCTTACGATTTTTAGCCAAAAAATAACAACTGAAAATAAAGTGTTCGAATTTGCAGCTTGTATACCTTTCCCCAAATCGTAAACAGTTCGAAAGCATACGTAAAGTATACGTATCTGTTCGTAAAGTACTCGTAACTACACGTAAAATGCTCGTAATAACCCGTATCAATCCGTAAAGCCATCGTAAAATGACCGAATAAAATCGTAAACGACATGTAAGCACACGCAACCATCCTTAAACTGCTCGCAATAATCCGTAAATAAACCGTAAACAAATCGTAAACTAACTGTAACGAATCGTTATACAAATCTGTTACGAGTCATTAACGGATTCTTGCGAGCAGTTTACGGATGGGTACGTGTTGTTGCGAGCGGTTTACAGATGGTTACGGATTGTTACGAGCTATTTACGAGTTATTTACGGACAAATTTATCCGTGGACACTCGTAAGAAGATTTTTGACATGTCAAAAAATTTGCCTCTCCTTTCACGGATCCTCAAGAGTGCCTACGAGTTGTTGCGAGTTGTGACGAGTTATTTACGGATACCAGCGAGTTGTTTACGGATGCTTGCGATTGACTACGAGTTAGCGATCCGTAAGGACTCGTAAGAAAAATCCGTGTATGTGAAGGGGTAGGGGTATTACTTGTGTTGTAAGTAGCCATATTCACTGTAAGTAGCCATATTCACTTGCCTGTCATACCTTTACATGTTAGTGCACAGTCTGCACGGTTGTGCGAGTTTACACAATGAAGGTGGCTATCCTAATAGCCTTTGTATCTATTGTATGCATTGTATGTTACACTACTGATTCTTGTACTGTACTTGTGCATTATACCACTGATTCACGTAATGTAGCTGTACAACATAAGGGAAAGTACAAGTACATTGGTACTCCCATTCAGCGGTATGCTAATTCTGTTTCAAGATTTCGCATTTCACTACTGATCTCGGGAGACATCAGCCCCAACCCTGGGCCTTCCTCTCAAGGACCTAACTGTTCTGATGATTCCTTGACTATAGATTATACCTATGATAGTCAGACTCTTCATGCCCTTAATATTTGGGATGGTCGCTCCTCTGGAAAATGGCGAGAGGAGAATCACTTTGTTTGGGATCGGCTGGTGTCTCTCGGGATCAGTAGATCGTGTCGAAGGCGGAGGACACATCGGGGTAAGAGGGGTGGGCGTGATCGCTTTAAGGACCATCTTAAATTTGGTACTCTCAACTCCCGCTCTCTGCGCAATAAATCAACCATTTTTCAAGACTTTGTCGTTGACCACAAATTAGATTTTGTCTGTATTTGTGAAACATGGCTATCATCCGATGATGATGCAGTCGTGGCTGACCTTTGCCCAGGCTCTTACATTTTCAAACACTGTCCACGAGTCTCTGGGCGGGGTGGTGGGGTGGCTTTTCTTTATAAAGACAGCCTCCAGGTTATTATGTCATCAGAAAACTACGACAGTTTTGAATGTATGTCTGCAACTATCTCCAGTGACTCAAGCTGTATGGACATCTCGGTAATCTACAGGCCGCCTGGTGGACATAGCTTCTCCAAATTTCTGGAAGAATTCTCTGACTTTCTTGATGGTAGAATGTACAGAACTCCACCTTTCGTCATCACCGGCGACTTGAACATTCACATGGACAATAACTCTGCACCGAACACACAAAAGTTTAATGATCTTCTCACTAGTCACGGCATCTCCCAGCTAGTCAAATCTCCTACCCATGACAAGGGTCACATCTTGGATGTTGTCATGGTGCGGAACGCTGATGATCAAATCCTGTGTTCGAAACCTCAAGTCATACCTGGCATCTCCGACCATTCTGCTATCTTATGGAAGCTAAACTTCGCTAAGCCTAGTCGGACCCACTTTACATATGTCAGTCGTAACATCAGAGATATTGACAGAGAGACCTTCGCGAATAGCATTGCTGACTGCAACATCACTGCTCCTGCTACATGTAGTGTTGAAGAAGCTGTTCATCACTACAAGTTAGAACTCGGGAGGGTTCTAGATGCTCATGCTCCTCAGAGATCACGGAAAGTGAGGAATCATGCAGACTGTCCGTGGTATACCAATGACATTCGTTCTCAGAAGAGGATACGTAGACAACTGGAGAGGAAATGGAGGGCCAATGGCCGACTTCAGACCGACAAAGAACTGTACTGTGCCCAGCGTGACCTCGTAAATTCACTTGTGAAAAGGGCGAAGCGCTCATACTTTGTAGATCTTATTGAAGACTGTCGGAATGATTCCAGAAAGCTCTTCTCAGTAGCAAACCGACTTCTGAATCGTCGACAGTTATCACTACTTCCAGCCCACACGGACAGCCAGCAAATGGCCTCTACATTCACCCACTTCTTCCAGACGAAAGTCAAGACCATCTGCGACAGTTTATCACCTGACGAAACACCACACGATCCCCTTACTTCCTCTTCCTTTGAAGTAATACAACCCACTACCCCTAAGGAGATTATGTCACTCTTACGTAAACTACCCCCCAAATCATGTCAGTTAGACCCTGTTCCCACTAAATTATTAATGGACTGTTCCTACACATTCGCTCCCATCCTTTCTTACTTGATTAACTTGAGTTTAGAGCAGGCACATGTTCCTTCCTCATTGAAAATAGCTCATGTTACTCCGTTGTTGAAGAAACCTTCTCTGGACCGAAATTCCCTCCAAAATTATCGACCAGTTTCAAACCTACCTTTTTTGTTCAAAATTCTTGAAAGGGTTGTGTTTTCTCGTCTTTCGGATTATTTTCTGGACAATGATTTGTTCGACCCTTTCCAGTCAGGTTACAGATCCCATCATAGTGTGGAAACACTGCTTGTGAATGTGTCCAACTATATCCTGCAAGGGATGGATAGGGGTAACTCAACTGCTCTCCTGCTGCTAGACTTGTCCTCCGCCTTCGACACCGTTAATCACACTATCCTTTTGAACACACTTAGTTCACTTGGTGTCAAGGGTGAGGCACACAAATGGTTCGAGTCTTATCTGTCATACCACTCTCAGATCGTTTGTATTAATGGTTGCAAATCAGTTGCTTTGCCTCTCTCTTGTGGAGTACCACAGGGTTCTGTGGGCGGGCCTACTCTCTTCTCAATTTATTTAATTGGATTGCGACAAGTTTTGTTACAACATGGCATAGATTATCATATTTATGCAGACGATATTCAACTTATGATTTCCTTCAATTCAGATCAAGCCGCTGCAGAACGAGCCGTTCATCGCCTTGAATCTTGCATGGCTGATGCTCATGATTGGATGCTCGCACGTTCCTTGAAATTAAATCTAGACAAATGTAAATTCCTTATATTTGGTTCCAAAGTACAGCTTAGTAAAGTTAATATTAATTGCATTTCATTTTCTGGCCACATAATTCACTTGTCACAAACGTGTCGCAATCTCGGTGTTATGTTTGACTCACATATGACAATGTCTGACCAAGTTTCTAATATTTGTAGATCAGTAAGGTACCAATTGCGTAATATCGGTTTTATTCGTAAATATTTGTCCAAGTCTGCCACCGAAAAATTAGTTCATGCTCTGATTTCCTCCCGTCTTGATTTTGGCAATGCCCTCCTAATCAATCTACCCCAGAATCTTCTGTCCAAACTCCAGAAGCTTCAAAACGCTGCAGCTCGTATTGTTTATCTGACCTCCAAGCGTACCCACATTTCCCCAGCTTTGCAGTCGCTACACTGGCTCCCAGTAAAAGATCGCATTGTTTTCAAAATTGTGTTGCTTACCTTTCATTGCGTTCACGGCTCTGCTCCTCAATACCTTATCTCTCTAATCCAAAACTACACTCCTACAAGACCTCTACGCTCATCCACTTCCAATTTTCTTGTGACCCCCAAAATTACCAAAACATGGGGGGAAAGATCATTTGCATACTCTAGTCCTAAATTATGGAATGGCCTTCCTGAAGACATCAGAAAATGTTTATCTTCTGATTCTTTCAAAACTCATCTCAAAACATTCCTTTTCAAGTCTTGATCGTTTTTCCTGTTTACACGCGCCTTGAGCACTCCACAGAGTGGATTTGGCGCGATATAAGTCACATTATTATTATTATTATTATAATTGTGATTCATTTTTAATTTTGATAGGGCCAGTTACGTCATTGTGTGAGGAGAACGGATCAGAAGAAACAATATAATCTTCACTCATCTACAGACTGCCTCCTGACTTGATCTTGATCTGCAGCAGATAGCATGTGGTGGTTAACGACAGGAAGGAGAATATACCCGACTGTAAACACTCATCTCATAATTGTAGCCATAACAATGAAAAATACATTGTCATTATATTTCTGAGTGACTACCGATAAGACCGTTGACTGAAATACTTAACGAGATGATTTCCCGTCCTATCTCGATGATTTTAGCCCGGTTTATCTGATCATGATTAAAAAGGTTGAGAATAAGTATTGTTGTTTGCATTATATATCATATCAGTGCATATTAAGAAAAGAGAATCACAATGTCGGAATTTGAACGCAAAGTTTCACGCAGTCTGCAGTGTCCCGTTTGTCTCGAGCTGCCTAGTGACCCGAAGCAGTTATCATGTACACATACTTTCTGTAAGAAATGCCTTAATGATATTCTTAAAAGCACTTCACAACATTTTGTAACATGTCCGATCTGCAGAAGTGAAACATCTGTAAAGGGTGGCAATGTCTTGAATCTAAATACTAATGTTCCTCTTAAGTCTCTCATTGATGAGGTGAGAAATAGGCAGCAAGTCTGTGAAACGTGCGACTCAAAATCGAGAGCTGTACATTTCTGTTGTGACTGTTATAAGAACATGTGTGACACATGCCTTGATATTCACAAAAAATGGATGCCTCATGGCGAGCATAGAGTTGTGGAAGTAAAAGAAGTCAGAGAGGGAAGCGTGGTCCCCGAAAAAGAGGTTTACTGTCAAGAACACAAAGCAGATAAACAAAAACACCTCTGTACTGATGTGTGTATAACATGTAAGAGGTATATCTGCTTAAGATGTCGAGTGCTGTACCATGACAAGAAAGGTCACACTGTTCAAGATGCTGAGGGATACAATGCATCTACCAAGACACAAATTAAATCTCTACAAGCCCGAGGTATGACGAAAGCTACAACCATCAAGAATCACGTGACCTGCATCAACATTCAGAAGAAGCGTGTCACGGATCACATTGCCGGCAAAAAAAATGAAATCAACACGAGTTATCACGAATCACTCAAGAAATTGAAGGAGAGGAAAGCAGCGTTAGACAAACAGTTGGATAGTCAGGTAGAGAAATTATGTAACAAATTGGATGAGATGAAAGATGTTGATGAAAGGTTTATTACAAGTATTGAGAGTGCGAGTGTGCTAGCGGGTAATAGCGCGAAGGCTCCATTAGAAGAGGATATTATTGCTATTCGTGATACACTGTCTGGTGAGCTGAACAATGTACTAGATAGGGATGATCCAGAGAATAAGTTTCCTACGGATGTAGCTGAACGTGCAGAGCAACTGATATTCACACCTCACTGTCAATGTGATCAGTTGAACATTGGTGAGGTCAGGTTCATGAAATGTGAGTTGGAATGTGATGTAGAACTCTCTAAGAAAGACAGCATGAATGGCATGACTGCTACACGCGATGGAAGAATGGCAGTGGGATACAGCACTGGAGGAATCGATATCTTCTCTGCTAATGGCCAGCTCCAGAAGACAGTCCTCAAGAATGTCGGAATTTGTAGATTAGGAGTCTTGTCTGATGGTCGGTATGTCGTTCTTAATCGCAGAGATAACATCACACTGTACACACAGGAGTATGAGAAGCTGGATTTAACATTTGATACTCTGAGTAATGATGCTAAAGAGAATGTTAGTCTCACTGTAGACAGTAATGATCTGATCTATGTCGGCTACTGGAAAGCCGAGAAGATCCAGGCATTCTCTCAAGCAGGTGGGAGGGCGATCAGAGAGATACCATGCGATGGGTATACCCCTGAGCAGATCACTAGTTATAATGACGTATTGATCATCAAAAGTTGTTATACAGTAAGAATAATCGACAAAGATGGCAATGTAAAACACAAGGTAACGAAATCAAACGTTTACCCAAACGCTGCTGTGACTCAGAATAATTCAATCCTAATCGCTTGGGTCAAGCTTGCTGATGGGTTGGTTAGTATCGATGAGTACACCAGCGAGCTCAAACACGTCAAGACTCTCATCTTTGATCAAAAGATTGAGAAGCCTGAGACACGTAACTGGTACTATTTCCGCGAGTTCCGATCAGGGGAGATTGCTTTCTGTACTCCTGGTAGACTCTATATATTCAACTAATAATCACACCAGTCCATGATGATAACAGTCATACATATATGAGTGGAAGTAAACTTGAATATGTATATGGCTATAAAGAAATGTTTAATGAATAAATTAGTTTTTTTCCATTTTTATTCAACGATATAAAAAAATAGTACAATACAATGGAACAGTGGACATGATCATATATAAAGTTAACATATCGTTAGGGGAAACCAAAAAAGATCGAGATCTTGTGGACTGGTGCCCCTTTTACAAAATTAACAATCTAAAAGTAAAACATTAATAATAATCACAAGCGGACACATCCAACAGACACACACGCACACCCACACACGCACACACACACACACACACACACTCACCCAAGAGAAGGGAAGGAGAAAGAGAGATTACATGTACAGCGTACATACATTTATATGAGGTAAAATTATTTAAAATATGTTTGGAAATCAAGAAGAAAATATCAGTTGCAACTAATAATAACTAGCTGCCATCTAAACAGATGAAGCTATAAAATCATTAAGATGTTTGTTTAATACATAATAGGTGGAGACCATCACGTGATGAACTTTTAAACATGTTACTCTATCGTCTCTTAAAGTAGGCCTAATACACAAGGTGAAATATGTGTTGTTCTATTATTTTTGTATCAATATACATGTACATATATTTGGGTAGGGTATCATCCCTTTATAATCTTTCCATTCTGTAACTCAAGTTCATGGAAAAAATTACTTGTTTATAGTGTTTATGAAACTTTGTTTTGGTTATCCAATGGATAATATTATTTGCGAAATTTAAACAGTTCAAGTTCTGTATATTATATTGAAAAATCTCAAAGTAAATCATAATTGAGAAAAGCCAGAGAAGAGCACTCCTGTATGTCATCGGGTAATCCCCAACTCCGAAAGCTTACAAAGTTATTTGAAGATTACGTCATCGGGTAATCCCCAACTCCGAAAGCTTACAAAGTTATTTGAAGATTACGTCAGCGGGTAATCCCCAACTCCGAAAGCTTACAAAGTTATTTGAAGATTACGTCATCGGGTAATCCCCAACTCCGAAAGCTTATACAGTTATTTGAAGGTTACGTCATCGGGTAATCCCCAACTCCGAAAGCTTATACAGTTATTTGAAGGTTACGTCATCGGGTAATCCCCAACTCCGAAAGCTTACAAAGTTATTTGAAGAAAAGGGATCATCCTAAGCTATACGAAAACTCAATAACTATGCATTTGTTTATGTTCTTTTACATAAAGTTGAGTTCTAGTCAAAATAGTACATGGTCTTTATCAGGAAAAAAATATTTCACATGTTACATCAATATTCTATTTAACAAAACATATTTGTAACAAAAACTTGAAAAATCACGGGAAGGAAACATGTAAACAATGTGAAACACTGTGAAAGATTTTCATGATAGAAAAGCCTTCGACTAACCTACTACAACTTGCTGAAGATCACGTGCACTGTCAAGGGAATATTGGCCTAAAAACGAAAATGTGACCCAAACTCTTCAGCTATAAAATTGTATAATTAGTATTTTAACTCTTATATCTTTTCAGGAGATAATCCTACTTTGATATTCTCCCAAATTGACATACAAAGAATGAGGAAACTCAAAAATTATTTTTCGTTTTTACCAGGACTCAGTTTTCTCTTTGACATTCTTTGTTGGACGATGTATACTGTTTCGTAATATGAAGAACAGACCAAGGAATGTATATGGGAATATATGGACAAATGTATTACAACTATAACGGTTACCTAAAATGTTCTGTATGTGTATGAACAGGTCATTGGGACAAACTTATCTGACAGGTTCAGTGATTATCTTTATAAATGTATTGCGAGCTGACTCGTTTCAAATAAATGTCGTTATTGAGTTATATCTATGTAGAGGGTACTTGGATGACATGAAAAATGCATCAATGTAGAGGTTATCATTTAACATTGTAGAAACTATGATAAAAA